CACGGCGCTCCGTTCTGCTGATGTTGTTGTTCAACAATAATTTAACACAATTTTAGAAAATGTATCCGATCGATGTAAACATAATCACTTTGACCTCTTTGAATTCTGTACCTAAAAATTAAGAAAAGTATGAAAAAACTAAAACCACCACTATAACTCATTAAAACAAAACTAAAACTAAACAATGTTAAACTAATAAGTAATAAAAAACTGACAAGAATAATCTAATTAATTTAACACTAATTAATACTAAGTGAAACTGATAAAAACTTGATCGTCTGGTTTCTGTTTTACTTTAGTTCAGTTCTTAGTGTTTCTACTTTTCTTTATTTCTTGTTTATAGTTATTCTATAATAAAACTCTAAACCTGAACTAAATATCTGAGAAATTATAATTAATTAATAAATAATAATAAAGCTTCCTGGATTAACTGACTGATGATAATAAAGCTGTTTTCTGACCTCAGCCTGAGGGAAAACTCCTCCATCTGCTGCTCCTTGAAGCACCTGCAGCCTCCGCGTGTCCTAGTTAAATCCTCCGCCTGTTCGGGGTTTCCGCCTGGGAAGTCCCTGAAAACCTGGTCTGGTTTTTAATAAACTCTCCTGAATGTGACCAGAAAAATCTGATCAATCTGAAGCAGAAAACATCAAACATTCAGAATAAATTTAATAATCAGCAGGGCTGAGCGCAAATCGTGACACCGCACCCACTAATGGCACTTCCGGTGGCAGGTGTCATTACGCGCCACAAGGGCCACTGTTTTCGGGGCTAGCTGTAATTGTTGCCACCATAGACATTGCCACCATGGTTGCCACTGGCTTCGGCAAATGGACTACATATCCCATGATGCTTTATAACTAGTAGAAGAAGAACTTGAAGACAGACGAAGAAGAGAGAATTTTTCAGGGTTGTCTTTCGCAGAAAGATCTACGTTAGCTGAATTCCTACACTTTTCGTACATCATGTATGATCCGTTCATCCTATTTATTGGTAATCCTAATGAATCCAGTTTGTTTCGTGAAACGGTTGAAACACACAGCACAGGACTTAAGGAGCTCCGATCGCCCTGCTGCCACATACAAGATGGCGGACGCAGTTACGTACGGCTCAGCGCTCCATGAGGCGTCTACGTATTGATGTCTATGGCGGCAACCCTGGAAGGTGCCGAAGTCAGCCGAAGTCAGTGACAACACTGACCGCTAGCCCCGAAAACAATGGCTGCCGTGACACCTGCCACCGGAAGTGCCACGGTAGGTGCGGTGTCACGATTTGCGCCTCCTGTTTCTCAATAAATATGAACTTTAGTTCATTTGATCGAGTTTTTAGGATTAATAAAACGAAAAACGTAGAAAACAACCAGACTTTAACTTTCTGAGTAAAATGTGAGACTTACATTAACTTTATTTATCTCTTTACAGACTGAGAAGATTCTGCAAAGATAATAAATCAATAAACAAACGATCTTCATAAACCAGAGAGCAGCTTAAATAAACCATCTTCATGGTTTGGTGAATAATATCCAAAATGAACAGAAGCTTTCAGTAATAAATTAAAACTACTTTCTAATCAGAGTCATTTTTTATCCTACAGAGTTTAAACCTCCGTTTAGCTTCAAAAACATGAAAAATGATCTAAACTTCAGCATCTGATTTTTCAAATAGTCATCATAGTTTTTACACACGGAAATAAAAAAACTATCTTAATGTATCTGCCCCATTTTAACCGAACCGAATTTTAGTTTCTAAGAATTGGCCTAATTTATGTTTTTAAATGCTTAACAGCCAGAAGCAGCTTACTGCGTCTGCAATGAAAACGAGTCAAAAAGAAGCCTGAGCAAATTTAGCTGTTAGCAGTTAAGTTATGTTTTAAAATAAAAATATTATTTTCTAGTTTTGCCTCAAAGTTTCTCCTGGCGGCCGCCATTGAAGGCCGCTGATTGGCTGAGCCGTTCACATTCATTTGGGGAAAATAAACTTCCAACTTCTGCATCTGAAGTTCAGGAGGAAAATGTTTTGTTACCTGGACGGTCAGCAGCGGACACCTGGCCAGGTGGAGGGCGGGAGAGGCGCGCGCACCTGGCGGGACACGTCACGTGAGTTTGGGTGAGGCGGGAAAGTCTCAAAAATTACAAAAATATGAGACACTGATGATACAGACTTATAAATCCAGAAATGGAGCTCACGCTATACACTGTAAAACAATAATGATAATTTCAAATGGGCATTTTTTACCTAAAAAGTTAAAATGGCGGGAGCTCGGGCGCCACCTAGTGTCTGTCAGTGAACCTGCGCCTCAGGCAGCCTGTAAAATTCACACAAAAAAGTTCCTAATGATAAAAGTATTCGTCATCATCATAACTTACTGGACAAGACGGAAAGAAATAAAACTATCAGCCGCTGAAGTTTTTAAACAGAAATGATCAGACATTGATTACAGATATTGGAAATATTGGCAGCCTGACCTGATGGCGTGTTGATGTTTAACATGTTGAGTCAAACCAAAGTTTGGAAGTTTGAAGTTCATCACGAAGCTTTTTGCTCGTCTGTCTTCAGGTTATATAATAATAATAATTATTAAACTCTCATAATTAATCCAGATTTAAACTTTAACTCTCAGTTTACTGACTGGTTTGTATTGAGACTCTGCAGGTCTGAAGAGCTTTGACTAGGCCGTTCTAACCCAGAGGTTAGCTCTGATTTAAACCATCCCATAATATTTCAGACTGGGTTTCCTCCTCCAGAACTTTAGCTCCGTCCATCTGACCTCCAGTTTTTAGGTTGTATTAACTAAATTAATGGTTTAATTACTTGTATTGTTCTTGTTTGTAATTTTTTGCTTCGTTGAAACATGACTCTTTATAAAATGAGATCTTGGATCTTAAATGGAAACTTCTTATAAATAAAGGTTAAAAACTGCCCAGCTTCCCTGTTCCTGCTGGATTAAAGGCTCCCCACAGCATGATGCTCCCACCACCATGTTTGGGTTAGTTTTCCACCTGCATTTAAACCTGAAAGCCCAGGTAAAGTTACATCAAATCCCAGCCAATCAGAGCCCAGCATCTCTTCTCTTCCACAGGTTTGTTTGAATATCCTCTCGGCGCGTCTCAAAGGGGCGGAGCTCCGCTGGAGGAAGCGCTCGCTTTGCTTTACAGCGCCTCGCGGCAAGAACAAGAGATTTATCCTCAGTTTTGTCACGAGAGAAAAAAACAACCAATGACTTCTGGTTCAACATGAGTCCCTTCAAAATAAAAGCTCCGGATTGGTCAGTTGGATATCTATCTATCTATCTATCTATCTATCTATCTATCTATCATAATCACTGAAACATGAAAAATACATAAGAAAAAAATAAATGACATCAGCAGCTTTTAAGTTTCACAGCGTTTATTTTTGGAAGAAACGTGTTAAGTTGTCTGTGTTCTGTGATGTGTTTTGAGGTTTAGGGCTGCTGTCCTGCAGGCTTTAGATGAGCCTCAGGTAGGAAACACTGGAATGAAACGGCTTCATTTCCTCCTCCTGCTGTGGATCGGCTCTCCAGAGCCTTGATGACCTGATGATTCTGTTCAGGTGCTGCAGAGAAACATCTAAAGGCTGCAGGGCTGGAGTTTGACACCTGATTTAAATTGACCTGGAGATGAAAACTAACCTCTGACTCCGGTTATTTATGTGCATTAAATAAATAAATAATAATAATAATAAAAACTACAGGGTCAGGAGGAGGGACTGCTGCTGTGGATGAAAAGACAATAATAAATAAAAAATATTTATGTACACATTTTTTTAATCTAAAACCTCAGTAATATAACTCAATCTCCTAGATTTTATTTTTTCCATCCATCCATCCATTTTCTGCCGCTTCATCCGGGGTCGGGTCGTGGGGGCAGCAGCTTCAGAACGGAGGCCCAGTCTTCCCTCTACAGCCTCTTCCAGCTCCTCCAGGAACCCCAAGCGGTTCCCAGGCCAGCAGAGAGACATCGTCCCTCAGTGTGTCCTGGGTCTCCCCTCCTCCTGGTGGGACATGAACACCTCACCAGGGAGGCGTCCAGGAGGCATCCTGACCAGAAGCCTCAACTGGCTCCTCTCGACGTGGAGGAGCAGCAGCTCTACTCTGAGTCCCTCCTGGATGACTGAGCTTCTCTCTCTAAGGAAGAGCCCAGCCACCGTTTCGGCCGCTTGTATCCGGGATCTCGTTCTTTCGGTCATGACCATAGATGTAAATCTTTGCTTTGCTCTCTCTTCACCAGACGGATCTGTACGGCGCCCGCTTCATGGCAGACGCTGCCCCAATCCGCCTGTCGATCTCCTGCTCCCTTCTTCCCTCATTCATGAAAAAGATCCCCAGATACTTAAACTCCTCCACTTTATTTGACTGAATTGTTTGATATATGGGATCAAATTTAATTTAAATATCACTTTCTGATTATGCATTTCTAAAAACAAACTGGATCCTGTTGTCCTTTGTTGTGAATTAGCGCAACGTTTATAAACTGGACTGAAATAATTATGCAGAAGATGCTCTTATTCTGAAGGGTCAGGCCGGAAACAGTATTTTCCCCGTTACTTTAGAGTCCCAGAGGCTCCAAGGAGAGAAAGACCCGCTGCTGACGGAGAGGAAGGACTTCAGCCCAACAGGACCGGAATCAGCCCCAAAACCCTCCGAGAACTGGACCGAACGGAACCCGAACAGAACCGAGAGCCGGTTCTGTTCGGAGCTTTGGGCCGGAGCTGCTGTTATCTTCAGCGGGAACGCAGAGGAATGGGTCGGCCGAGGAAGAAACCCTCCTGTGGGTGTTCGGAGTGAAACCGACCCGAGGGAGGAAGAGGAGCAGTGAGGAGGAAGAATAGGTTCCGAACAGGAGGACAAGATGAAGATGGGAGGAAGAGGAGGAGCGGCGCTGCTGGAGCTCTGCGGGATTCTGCTGCTGCTGACCGGAAGCTGTCACTGCCGAGGTGAGGACGGGGCGGGTTAAACCCGAACCGGGTCGAAAGGTTCTGGTTCTGACTCAGTGTTTCCCTTCATCAGTCCGCCTCCGGTCCACTGCACTTTATGACGCCTCCTCTGGTTGCCATGGTTTCAAAGATCCTGGTTATGGTCACGTGACTTGAAGTTCTGCTTTATCCGCCATGTTGGCTTAAAAGTCGGAACTGAGCATGCTCAGTAGGCGTGGGCATTTATCGTATCGATTATCATTTATCGTTATAAAAATGTAAATTTATCGTCGTCACATTAAAATCCAATTAATTACGTGTAAAGACCTCAAACTGTCCGTATTATCCGCTAGTTCCCGATAACAGTCGAACAAACGTTTTCAACATTTGTCCGATGAAAACATTAAAATAAATGTGAAAATGTGGTTAAATACAGTAAAAATGGGAAAATATTTATTTTATGTGGTTGAAGTTTGTTTTCCATCATCAGAATTTGTATTTGTGTGGCGCTAATTGCTGTGGCACATGGTCGCAGCTAGCTGAAACAGAAGCAACACACAGTTCTTATCGTTATCACAATATTACCACAAACTATGGTGATAAAACTGAGTCCATGCTGCTCAGCGCTAATGCTCAGCAGAGCGACGACTCGATGTGACTCGATGTGACTAGGAACGTGACCTGGCGCCTCCAGAGGTCATAGATCTGGACTCTCTCCTGATTGGTTCCTGCAAGGAGAATACTGACTGCTCAGGAGTACTCCATGAACCTTCAGAGGAAAAACATGTACCGTCCCTTTAAGGCCGTATTGTCTGCGTGTGTGTGTGTGTGTGTGTGTGTGTGTGTGTTGTTCCAAAATGCTGTGATAAGCTGCTTAACGCTGCAGTGCTGACAGGAAATAAAACCCTGTGTGTGTGTGTGTGTGTGTGTGTGTGTGTGTGTGTGTGTAACATGGGAACTGATCGTTTTAGTTAAATCCTGAATAATTCTGGATTTGACCTTTTTTGTTCATAGAGAAACACAAACATGAATCTGAGTCCAAGACGACATTTCCAGGAACACACCCACTAAAAACACACACACACTCTGAACACACACACACACTAAAAACACACACGCTGAACACACACACACACACACACACAGAACACACACACACACACACTAAAAACACACACTCTGAACACACACACACACACACACAGTGATCTCTTTCCCGGACTCATGACTCACTTCCTGGGTTTTTTCCTCCTCGGTTCTGTTTGGACTCGTCGTGTTTTAAATGTTGGACTCAGTGGATCAGAACCGACCCGACCAAACCCTCCCTCTCTGAGCTTCTCCTTTAAGAACCAATCAGACGTGTTCTGGAACCTGATTGGCTGTAGCAACTTTTCAGCTTTTTCTATGTGAAACAAACAGAATTCATGAGCCACTGGTTCAGTTAGCAGCAGCAGCTAACCATGGCTAACCATGGCTAACGTCTGCTAACAGCGGCTAGCAGCAGCTAACCATGGCTAACCATGGGTAACGTCTGCTAACAGCAGCTAGCAGCAGCTAATAACTCCATGTTCTGGTTTTAAACCAACAGATCTGAGTTCAGGGCCGTATGAAATCTATTTTATTATTTTCCAAATTCCATTTTAATCATATTTATAAACCCAAAATAATGTAATTATGGTTTAAAATTGTTAAACAAATTAACAGCTGGAGGTCAACGCTTCCTGTTATTCAGTTTCATAAATGCGAAATAAAGGAACTGCTGTGTTTCAACAGAATATTAGATGGTTTTATGAGGTGTTGGTTTAAAAAGCTTCAAACATTATGAGCAAAACTAACAACCTTATTTTTAACATGAAAGAAAATTTTCTTTTTAAAAATGATTTAGAGTTGGACTGAAACAAAAATTATCACATGAAAAAAATGTAAATAAAATCATTTGGTCACTTTTATAATGATCAGAAACTTTGTTCAGTTTTATTTCTTCCATCTGTCACAAGAATCACTGAATATATGACTGAACTGATTCCTGACTGAACTGATTCCTGACTGAACTGATTCCTGACTGAACTGATTCCTGTCTGAACTGATTCCTGACTGAACTGATTCCTGAATGTGACCAGTTTTCCAGCTGGTGGAAATAAAAACTGATAAACATTTGTAGGCGTCTCAAATTCAGTTTCTTTCTGTGTCTTTGGTCTAGTCCAATCATCAGGCAGTTTGGCAAAAGTAAAGTAAATGTTTTCGGTAAAGTGAGATTCTGATGTTAGCTGAGTTTAGCTAACCTGGCTAACGGTCTGGCGGTTAGCAGCAGGTTGATGATAATCAGTTAATAAGCTGAGCTGAATGTTTCCTTCCTCAGACTCTCAGCAGACCGAACATCTGGCCTCGTACCAGCTGACTGCTCCTAGGCCAATAGGAGGCCGGCTGAGGCGGGACGCTGAGGGCAGGCCGCCCAATCAGGTACCGGCGTTTCCACGGCATCACACACACACACACACACACACACTGGTTCTGAAATGTGACACCGACTCTCAGATATGATTCAACTCGCTTCCAGCTGAAACCTGGTTGCCATGGTTTCAGAGGAGGTGATCGTCTTCAGATTCGTTTAAATAAAGTTAGATGGATTCAAAACTAAACTGTTCAGGACTGGACCAGAACCGGGCCCAGCGGGTCGGTCTGTGACTACCGGGCCTCGCTGAGTTAGAGGACAGAGGGAGCTGATGATGATGATGATGATGATGATGGAGTGTGGGTGGGGGCCATGCTGACTTCCTGTCCTGACTCACCTCTAACACACACACACACACCTGGCAGCCGCAGTGTGTGTGTGATGACACACCTGCAGAGATCAGCAGCGTTTGCCAGGTGAGTCATGTGACCTCTCGACCTTGGAGCTGCAGGTCCAGCTCTGATGGTTCTGCCTCACTGATCCATCAGAGAAACATGGTGGCGCAGCGGTTCAGCACAACCCACATACGGAGGCCTCAGTCCTCGACGCGGCCGTCGCCGGTTCGATTCCCGGCCTGGTGACCTTTGCTGCATGTCACCTTGATAGCCTTTATTAACTATCAAATAAAGGCCATTAGAGCCGATAAAACCTTTAAAAGAAACACGATGAGAGGATGAAGTAAAACTGACTTCGAGTTCCGTTATTCCCTCAGAAACACCTGGAGTCGGTTTCAGAAATCCTGCCGTCTCCATGGCAACCCCCATTGGGGTGCCGAAACACTCACTGCCACAAAGCGCCGCCTCCTGTTTACAGTCAGCAACAGTCAGTCCAATGTTACCGACTGCTGCTGCACTTCACACAGAAACTGATTCTTAAAGAAAGAAAACTGCAATCGGTGCATCCGGGATTAACCGAGTGTGTGTGTGTGTGTGTGTGTGTGTTTCTGCAGGTTTCCTTCATCATCCCAGTGGATGGAAACGATCTCCTCGTCCATCTGCAGAGAAACGAGTGAGTTTGGATGAAGGAACTGTTTCTGACCTCCATGATGCTTCACAGAAGCTGATCTGGTGATCCAGAGGAGATCTGTGGATCCTCAGACCTCCTGTGGATCCTCAGATCCCCTGTGGATCCTCAGGCCTCCTGTGGATCCTCAGACCCCCTGTGGATCCTCAGGCCTCCTGTGGATCCTCAGACCCCCTGTGGATCCTGATCGTGACGCCGTCTCATCGGTTGTGTTTAGTAATGAGGTTCTGCAGTCGGTGCTTCAGCCAGAACCGACCCAAAGACTCTCAGCCGGCGTTAAAAGATGAGCTGCTGCAGGAACAGAGCAGAAATTCACCTGTTGGTGTCCAGACAGTCTGAGGCTGAAGGCCAGACGAGCTCAGCATGTAGAGGAAGAACTGCAGGAGCAGCTTCCTGATGATCGGCTGACTCAGCACTTCTGTTAGTGTGTGTGTGTGAGTGTGAGTGTGTGTGAGTGTTTGTGTGTGTGTGTGAGTGTGTGTGTGTGTGTGTGTGTGTGTGTGTGTGTGTGTGTGTGTGTGTGTGTGTGTGTGTGCGCCACATTTTCCATCCAAACCTCTCTTTGCTGCTAAATGTTTTAGTTTTGATCTTCCTGGTTCCTCGTTTCTGTTCTGCTGGTTCCGACCCGTTTAACAGCTGCTGTCGCCTCCAGGGTCCTGCTGCCTCCAGATTTCACCGTCTTCACCTACGGCCCAAACGGATCCCTGATCACATCCAGACCACCTGTCCAGGTGAGCGCTTTGCATCATGGGGCATCATTCTGTGTTGATTTAACATTAACGAGTGTTTCTGGTTGGTGCTTTAGCGCAGCTAGCTTTATGGTTAGCAGTGCCCAGCGCTGCAGGTTCAGAACCACAGGGACCAGAACCAGCTGGTTCTGAAGCCTCGGTGGGTCCAGAACCGGCTGAGAAGCTGGAGGAGGTTTTATTGTTGGTGAAGCAGCTACTGGTCTGTAGCCGACAGAAACAGGAAGCAGATCATCTGTGTGTCACTTCCTGGAGTCTGATGTGTGATCTGCTGACTCATCTGTTGCTAAGCAACGGTTCTGATCCAGTTTGACCAACAACCAGCTGGACGCTGAGAGGATAAAAGCTTCTGCTGCTGTTCTGGGTCAGCTGGTTGGTGCAGATGAACACATTAATGATGGTCAGGGACCCAAGGCCTCAGGCTGCAGGGCCACTGCTGGCCCCCGAACCAGGCTTTGAGCTGCAACAGAGAAACTGATGGAGAGGAACTCGGAGACACTGAGTGTGATACAGGAAATGGCCTCCTGTGGGACAGGAAGCTGGACTCGGCTCCTTCCTGTCGGGATCGGCTCCCCCTGCTGGCCTGACCTGGTATCCTCTCTGTTCCAGAACCACTGCCAGTACCAGGGCTTCGTTCAGGACATGGAGGGCTCTGCTGTGGCCATGAGCGTCTGCAGCGGCCTCAGGTACCGACCCAACAGAACCAGAATCCGGGTCTCAGTTTGCCCTGAGTTCTGTCTGCCAGGCGTTTCAGTAATCGGTCCGTCTCCTGGTTTCTCAGAGGAGTGATGCATCTGACCAACGACAGCTACGGCATCGAGCCGCTAGGCTCCGCCCCCGAGCAGCACCTGCTCTACCGCCTGCAGGATGTGACATCACAGCCCCGAGGATGTGGAACGCCTCACTACGGGCACGGCGACGCTGCGGAGCATGCTCAGTACGACCCGGAGGAGATCCAGCACCGCCGGCGCAGCAGGGTGAGTTCAGGCCCGAGGGCAGGCAGGAGGCGGACAGAGACACGTTGACCACCAGAGCTGTTTATAAAGACCGAGAGGAAACGGGGCGTTGATCAGAAACATGGCTGCTTCCAGGTAAAGAGAGCTGTTCTCCACAAGACTCACTATGTGGAGCTGCTGCTGGTGGTCGACAACGACAGGGTGAGACACACACACACACACACAGCACCTGTACTGTCATTAAGCCCCGCCTCCCTCAGCCTCTGTGCTGATTGGTCGTCTCTTATTCTGCAGTTTAAACACATGAATGGAAACGAGACGGCGGTCAGAGAGCAGATGATTCACCTGGCGAACCTCATAGACGGCGTAAGAACACACACACGCACACACACACACACACACACACATACACACTGTCTGCTTACTGGGATTTTCAGACTTATAGAAACATCACCTGTACCTGTCAGTGTCACTTTAAACTCTGAATGAAAAATCGAGTGAAACCTTTTATCGAGGTTCTGCTGTCAGACTGAACTTGGTAACAAACGGTTTCCGGATCGGCTCTCGGCGCTGCGCTCCGATTGGTCGCTAAGGTTCTGCATCTGACCCGGTGCAGATCTACATGCAGCTGAACGTCCGGGTGGTTCTGGTCGGTCTGGACATCTGGACCAAGCAGAACCTGATCAACACGGAGGGCGGAGCCGGCGAGGTGCTGAGCCGCTTCACCCAGTGGAGGGAGAAGGAGCTGGTTCCCCGGCGGCGCCACGACTCGGCCCAGCTCATCCTGTGAGTCAGAGGAGGAGGAGGAGGAGGAGACGAAGGTGGTGATGATGATGATGATGATGATGAAGGTCTTGTTGGTGCTGCAGGATGAAGAGCTTTGGCGTAACAGCAGGAATGGCGTTCGTCTCCACCGTCTGCTCCAGAAGCCATGGAGGAGGAATCAACGCGGTAACGTTGCTTTTTACATGACCTTTGACCCTGACCCGTGTCGGCCGCCAGAGCCTCATCCTCTCTCTCGCCTCTCAGTTCCTGAACAACAACGTCGCGGCCTTCGCCTCCATCGTGGCTCATGAACTCGGACACAACCTGGGGATGAACCACGACGACGGGCGGACCTGCAGCTGCCCCACCGCCGCCTGCATCATGCACTCCGGAGCCACGTAGGACGCCACGCCGCCCGGACAGAACCGGAGCCCGTCCGGACCTCGTTCCTCCTCGGAGCCTCCCTCTCCTGCTGAAGGGGTCAGAGGTCGGACACAGACCTCCTCTCCTAACCCCAGTCCAGACCTGAGGTGTTCCCAGTTAGACCGCTGAGGAGCATGAGGGAAAGTCCGGGGCGGAATGAGAGCTGGATCGGACCGTCTGGATCGGACCGTTCCACAGAACTCGCCATCTTCATCGCTCTCTTTTGTTTCTGCAGAGGATCCAAAAACTTCAGCAGCTGCAGCGCCGACGACTTTGAGAAGATGATCCTATCGACGGGAGGAACGTGTCTCCTGAACGTCCCCCGGCCCGACGAGGCCTACAGCGCCCCCTACTGTGGAAACAGGCTGGTGGACGTCGGGGAGGAGTGCGACTGTGGATCAGAGAAGGTCTGAAGCTTTCAGCTCATCGAGGTCCTTTGGTTTCATGAGCTACGCTGAAAACCAGCTAACATGATCGGCTGGAGATCTGCTGTTTGCTAGGGCTAACACTGTTAGCTAGAGCTAAAACCATTAGCTAGAGCTAACACCATTAGCTAGAGCTAAAACCATTAGCTACAGTTAGCACTATTAGGTAGAGCTAAAACCATTAGCTACAGCTAACACCATTAGCTAGAGCTAGCACCATTAGCTAGAGCTAACACCATTAGCTAGAGCTAAAACCATTAGCTACAGTTAGCACTATTAGGTAGAGCTAAAACCATTAGCTAGAGCTAACACCATTAGCTAGAGCTAACACCATTAGCTAGAGCTAAAACCATTAGCTACAGTTAGCACTATTAGGTAGAGCTAAAACCATTAGCTAGAGCTAACACCATTAGCTAGAG